TGGGCTGGAGCCTGTTCCTGGCCCATTCCCTGCTGTTTCTCCAGCACTGGGCACATAGTAAGTGCTCAGGGAAAATTTGTTGGATGGATTTAATGATTAGTGGCAAATCCTAAAGCCTCAGGTGGGAGAGACTGATCCAGACTGTCATCAGTAACCCCTTATTCTTATAAACCCCAGGTACCCCAGAGTTCAGTGTGGTTGAAACAGTGTTCATACATTCACCCTTCTCATCCAAGGTGTGAGCTGGAGTCGGGTTCCCTCTGTGGACCCTCCTCAGGAAAAGGCTTGTGTATGGAGCTGGCAGCTGGCCACCTTGCCCCCTTTCTCCCAAGTAATAGACGGGATGCGGTGGTGGATAAGAGTATGGATCAACCGAAACCGGTTTGGCTCAGTGGATAGAGTGTCATCCTGCGGACTGAAAGGTCCCAGGTTCGATTCCTGTCAAGGGCATGTACTTTGGTTGCAGGCCCATCCCTGGTAGGGGGTGTGTAGGAGGCAGCTGGTTGATGATTCTCTCTCATCAATGTTTCTAGCTCTCTATCCCTCTCTCTTCTGCTCTGTAAAATAAATAAATAAATAAATAAATAAATAAATAAATAAATAAATAAATATTTTTTAAAAGAGTATGGATCAGACAGGTTGGGTACAAATAAATGTGTGGCTTTGAACAACTTATTTAGCCTCTCTGTGTCTCAGTATAGTAACAACAATAATAATATCTAAAAGTAGGGTTATGATAATTAATTGGTTTAATATATTTAAACACTTAAAACAATGTAAGTCATCAATAATAAATCAACTAGAATGCAAACTCCTGAGGTAGGAAATGTCTGTTTTATCACTGTGTCCATAGAATTTAAAACAGTGTCTGACTCACAGTAGGACCTCAGTTAATATTTGTTAATTGAGTGAATTAATAAATCTATTCCCACCCCCACATGTTCAAGCCAAGGCTAAGGTTTTAACCATCTTCCTTGCCTCTCTGGGCTTTGAGGCACTATAACAATGTCAGTTTGTACATTATGGAGAGGGCATTTCACACACACACACCCCTCCAGACACTGCCACCTCCACTCTGATCAGTCTAGAGCCCAAGTCCTGATTTCCATCCAGTGATCCTTGTTCTACCCTTCGGTCACACAGAATGCACTTCCTGTACCCAAACCTGTTTCAGACACTGAGGCAGAAAGGAATTAGACATGGTCCCTGTCCCTCAGGGTCTTATAGGCTTATCTTCAAACAATGGGTTCAAGGCTGTGGGGAGAGAGACTTGGGTTCTGGAGAGTTCTTGGAGAAGGAGTGCTGGTGGGGACAACAGAGTAGGTTGAAGAGCTGCAGGAATAGTTAAAGAACTCCTGTGTCCTCAGCCCCAGGCACCATGGCTAACAGTCCCTCCCTTCCTTTCTTTCTCTGTTTTTAGGGGAAACCTTTTGAGATGTTCCAGACATCATGCTCCTTTATCCTAAATTCTTCAGTATATATTTCCTAAGAATAAGAACATTATCTTATATAACTATAGGTTATATAGGTTCCGGGAATTTATTTAACACTGACATATCTTTTAACATTGACACAATGCTGTTAAATAATATACAGCCAATGTTTAAATTTCACCAGCTCTCCACATTATCCAATTTCCAATTTTTCCTCTTGATCCAGGGTCCAGTCCAGGATCACACATTGCGCTTAATTGTCATGTCCTTCAACTTGGGCTTGTCTGATGTTTCCTCATGATTACTTTTAGGTTATGCACTTTAGGCAGGAATACTTCAAAACTGATTCTGTATCCTTAGCGTGTAGTATCAAGAAGCACATGATGCCAATACACCCCATTATTGGTGATATTAACTTTGATCATTTGATTAAAGTGATGTTTGCCAAGTTTCTCCAGATCTGTGGGCTTTTAAGTTCTCACTGGCTGCAGTAAGTAGAAAGGAATGGAGGTGGCCAGAATGGGGTCTTGAAAGTACCTGGGTGAGATGATGGTAGTTTTGTTTAGGAAGATGGTATTGATTTACCCGAAGCACATTGTCTATTAAAGCCAGAACTAGGATTAGAATACAGGTATCCAGATACCCAGTTCTTCTCCCATGTCACCAGTTATAGAAACCCCAGTGCCATTAAATCAGGATTAAAAAGATAAGGGATCGATATTTTAGAAAATCCAGGCTAAGAGAAATTACTGTCCTGCAAATCCCTACATGTGATCAAGGACCCTCCCAAATATATCAGTAATGTTTCCCCAACTCCCTCCACTTCCTCCAGCAGAGTTATTTACTCCCATAATGCCTCAGTTAAACTACATACTCCCCCCCCCATCAAAAGTAAAACCAAAAAAAACACCACCACACAATAATAAACTACATGTTACAAAACCATGTGTAAATTACAAGAACAGGGTCTAAAGTTCATTCATCTTTGGTTCTACAGTGTCTAAAAGGACCAGGCTCAGTATTTATGAAATGAATCAGCTCTTGGCTTGCTAATAACCAAGTCATAAAGGGAAAGACGAATTTTGTGACTCAGCTTCCTTGTCTAATCATATTTAAATCCTACATTTAACGCTTAGTGTTAAATGTTTCTAGAAAGGCAAATCTGAGCCAGACTAAAATACTGATGGAGTACTTGTTATATTCCCATCTCTGATTTGAAGGGAGAGAGTAAGAGAAGATGGTAATAAGTTCTGTAGCAAGTTACATGGAGAGGCTTTTGTTGAGCGGCCTCAGAGGCTGTGCTGGGTGGGCTTACCAACAGTGGGAATAAACTGGGGGAGACCATTCCCCAGACAGCAAGATACCAGGAGATTTTTCTTTTTATCTGGTAAAATATCCATAACATAAAATTTATCACTTAAAACATTTTTTTGTGTGTTTTATTTGTTTTCTTTTTTGTTTGTTTGTTTCTTTCCTCTCTTTTGTTGTTGTTGTGCATTTAACATTTAAAAAAATCTTTATCAGCTGAAACCGGTTTGGCTCAGTGGATAGAGCGTCAACCTGAAGGGTCCCAGGTTCTATTCTGGTCAGGGCATGTACCTTGGTTGTGGGCACATCCCCAATAGGAGGTGTGCAAGAGGCAGCACCTGAGAGATTGATGATTCTCTCTCATCGATGTTTCTAACTCTCTATCCCTCTATCTTCCTCTCTGTAAAAAATCAATAAAATATATATATTTTTTAAAAAAGAATGGCCGAAACCGGTTTGGCTCAGTGGATAGAGCGTCGATCCGTCTGCAGACTGAAAGGTCCCAGGTTCGATTCCAATCAAGGGCATGTACATTGGTTGTGGGCACATCCCCAGTGGGGGGTGTGCAGGAGGCAGCTGGTCGATGTTTCTCTCTCATCGATGTTTCTAGCTCTCTATCCCTCTCCTTTCCTCTCTGTGGAAAATCAATAAAATATATATACATACATACAAAAAAAAATAAATATATATATATAAAGAATGGAGTAATGTATAAAAAAATCTTTATCATATACTAGAGGCCCAGTGCACGAAATTTGTGCACTGCAGGTGGAAGGTCCCTCAGCCCAGCCTGTGCCCTCTTGTAGTTTGGGAGCCCTCAGGGGATGTCCAATTACCAGCTTAGGCCTGCTTCCCAGGGGAAGCGGGCGAAAGCCAGCAGTCGAATATCCCTCTCACAGTCTAGGACCCCTCTCTCCTTACCTCCCACCTGACCCTTAGCACTGTTGCGGAGGTGGGAGAGGCTCCCACCACCATTGCTGCACTCACTAGCCATGAGCCCAGCTTCTGGCTGAGTGGCACTCCCCCTGTGGGAGTGCATTGACCATAAAGGGGTCTGCACCCTGGTGGTCAGTGCACATCATAGTGACCAATCATTCTGGTCATTCTGCCATAATGGTTGCTTAGGCTTTTATTATATGGATTCCTGTGGAATTAAACACAGTCATAATGTTGTATATCCATCTCCAGAACTTTTCATCTTTCCAAACTGAAATTCTATCCATTAAACATTAACTCCCCATTTCCCATGCTTCCAGTCCCTGGCAGCCATCATTCCCCTGTCTTTATGAATGTTACTATTCTAGATATTTCATATTTGTTCTGTTATGTCAGGTTTATTTCACTTAGCACAATGTCTTGAGGTTCATCTGTATTGTAGCATGTATCAAAATTTCATTCCTTTTAAAAGCTGAACAATATTTCATTGTGTGTGTACATCACATTTTATTTTATTCATTCATCCATCAAGGGACCTTTGGGTTGCTTCCATCTTTTGCTTGTGAACAATGCTCTGTGAACATTTGTGTACACATATATGTTTAAGTCCCTGTTTTTGGTCCTTTTATATATACCCAGAAGTGGAATTGCTGGATCATATCATAATTCTATGTTTACATTTTTTGAGGAATAACAGACTGTTTTCCACAGCAGCTGCGCCATTCTGCATTCCCACCAGCAATGCACAATATTTATTAATTGAGTGAATGAATGAATCCAATTTCTCTACATTCTCTCCCATGCTTGTCACTTTCTGTTCTGTTGTTTTGGTGTATGTGTGTTTTTCCCCCCCAGTAATAGTCATTCTAATGGATGTGAAGTCCTAGAGATTTGGACATGTAGGTTAGACCATAGAGAGAACTTCCTCCTTGGGCCAGCCTCTCCACATCACAGGCCTCTCAGAAACCAGAAATCTAGACGAAACTGGTTTGGCTCTATGGATAGAGCATTGGTCTGCGGACTAAAAGGTCTCAGGTTCGATTCCGGTCAAGGGCATGCACATTGGTTGTGGACACATCCCCAGTGGGGACTGTTCAAGAGGCAGCTGGTTGATGTTTCTCTCACATTGATGTTTCTAACTCTGTCCCTCTCACTTCTTCTCTGTAAAAAAAAAAAAAAAAAAAAAAAAAAAAAAAATCAATAAAATACATTTTTTTAAAAAGAAAAAAGAAACCAAAAATCTAAAACTCCTCATTTCTGATCCTGACTCCTTCCTGGTCTCTCCCCACAGGTGTGTGGCTACAGTAAACCATGTAATGAGCCATGCCTCGCCCTGGACACCCCCGCCCATCATCTGGGCCCCCACGCTTGGGACCCTGGGAGCGGCCAACAGAGCTGTGTTTGGAGACCTATGACGAGCCATCTCAGCCCCCACCAAGCCGCCGCACTCGGAAGCCAGACCCCAAGGATCCTGGCCACCATGGGCCTGAGAGCCTCACCTTCATCTCCGGCTCTGCTGAGCCTGCTGCTGAGCCCCCAGCCTGCTGCCTGCTCTGGCGACCTTGGGTGTGGGATTGGTGCCTGGCTGCCTTCTGCCTCCGCCGCTGCCGGGATTGCCTCCAGCGCTGCGGAGCCTGCGTACGGGGCTGCAGCCCCTGTTTGTCCACCGGGGACTCCCCTGATGGGGCTGCCGAAGCCAACTGGACCAAGGAGCACAATGGAGTGCCCCCCAGTCCCGACCGTGCACCACCCAGCCGGCGGGATGGCCAGCGGCTCAAATCCACCATGGGCAGCAGCTTCAGTTACCCTGACGTCAAGCTCAAAGGCATCCCTGTGTACCCCTATCGCAGTAACACTGCCCCAGCCCCCGATGTGGACTCCTGCTGCAAGGAGCCACTGACCGAGCCCCCACCCATGCGGCACAGCCTGCCCAGCACCCTCGCCAGCAGCCCCCGAGGCTCTGAGGAGTACTACTCCTTCCACGAGTCAGACCTGGACCTACCGGAGATAGGCAGCGGCTCCCTGTCCAGCCGAGAGATCGATGTGCTCATCTTCAAGAAGCTGACAGAGCTGTTCAGCGTACACCAGATCGACGAGCTGGCCAAGTGCACGTCAGACACTGTGTTCCTGGAGAAGACCAGTAAGATCTCAGACCTTATCAACAGCATCACGCAGGATTACCACCTGGATGAGCAGGATGCTGAGGGTCGCCTGGTACGCGGCATCATTCGCATCAGTACCCGAAAGAGCCGGACCCGCCCGCAGACCACAGAGGGGCGCTCAACACGGGCTGCTGCCCCTGCTGCCATGGCCCCTGACAGTGGCCATGAGACCATGGTGGGCTCTGGGCTCAGCCAGGATGGTATGTGGGCCCCGCAGGGCTGAAGGGCAGAATGAAGGAGACTCTGGTCAAGGGAGGGCAGCGCTGGGGCCTTTGGTCGCTATGGTTTCACCTTTCAACCAATCCCTGCGCTTCCTCCTCCTCCATTTTCTCAACTCATCTGCATTCCCTAACAGGCTCCTTCTATCTCTTGCTACCAACTGTCAGGGTAGCTGCCAGGTCTGGTCTGGTTAACAGGACTCAGGAACCTATATGAATTTGGACCTCTGACCTGTCCTGGGCTAACCAGTATACCCACCAGCCACCACTGTGTGTACCCATGAGCACATGCACAGACACACATTCTCTATCTGTCTTTGTTTTAAACATTGTTTTTTTAGCCTGGCTAAAGTAGCTCAGTGGTTGAGTGTCAACTTATGAGCCAGGAGGACATGGTTCGATTCCCAATCAAGGCACATGCCCAGGTTACGAGCTCAATACCCATTGTGGGGCATGCAGGAGGCAGCCAATCAATGATTCTCTCTCATCATTGATGTTTCTATCATCATTGATGTTGTGATAAAGATGTCTATCTTGTATCTCTTCCTCTCCCTTTCTGAAATCAATTTTTAAAAATTATACATACATACATACATACATACATACATACATACAATGGCCCCATTGTGCTGGGTACAAAAGTGGGGACTGGAGTTGAAAAGTTGTGATAATGACCACTGCCCCCCTCATGTTCCCTTTCTAGAACTCACAGTGCAGATCTCCCAGGAGACGACTGCAGATGCCATCGCCAGGAAGCTGAGGCCTTTCGGAGCCCCAGGTTTGGTCCTGACCTGATGAGTGTGTTGAGGAGAGGGGCGTGACCTAGGAGCCCCTAGGCCCCTCTTCCAGCTTCCTCCTGGGGTGGGTGAGGACGGGATCAGAAAGGGACGAGAAGCCTGAGAAGCCACAGATGCCATCCCAATCCTACAAGCTAGCTTAAAGGGTTCAGTTGGGAGAGACTTAGGGGCCTGCCCCTGAAGCAGCAGGATGGTTCCCAGAACAGGCAAGCTGGAAGTGATGGGACCCCAGCCTCTAAGCTCCAGGCACTGGGGAAGGAAGTGGGGAGCAGGAGGCCGGCCAGCCTGATGCTGAAGGCACTCTGTGATTTCTACTGCTGTCTTCTTGGCCTTTTCAAGCTCTTGGGAGCCGGGTGGTTACCCTGGTGCAGAGGAAGGCTGGGGCTCAAAGTTTAAGGAACTGAGTGGGTCGCCCAGACAGGATCAGACTAACCCAGGCTTAAGTCCATTCTGCTCCTTTTTAGGGGGTTTCTCTCTGCCCCTGGGGCCTGGACGAGCTTCTTTCCCTCTCAGCCTGTTTCCTTCTCTCTTCACCCTCAGGATACCCAGCCAGCCATGACTCGTCCTTCCAGGGCACCGACACAGACTCCTCGGGGGCACCCCTGCTCCAGGTGTACTGCTAACCCCTGCTGGCCCAGTGGCCACACCCCTTCTGAGAGGAGCACAGCCTGCAGAATGAAGAGGGGGACCAGGACTCCCTTAGGGAGAGGCAGAGCCACTCTGGCGCCTCCGAACTTGGCTGACTGGTTCTTGGACCACGTGCATTTCACTGGGCCACAGTGCCCACATCCCCCTGGACTCCCAGCTGGCTGACCTGTCCCTTTCTTCAGGCAGCCTGGGCCATGGAAAACAGACTTAGGAGCTACCTTCTGGGATTGAATCCCTGCTCTACCCCTAAAACCTGCCATCCTAACCAATCATGCAGGCTTCCCCCTCCCTGTGTGGGTACAAAAGTGGGGACTGGAGTTGAAAAGTTGTGATAATGACCACTGTGTGGGGGGAAGAGTGTGACAGCTAAAAGCAGTTTATCTTAGATAGGCTTAGGGGGCAAGAGGGCCTCTGTTGAATTCTGTGGGCAGTGCCTACTCCACGTTTCATTCTGTTGAGCAGTTTGTTTCTTCGTTGATGTTCTACATACTGGTATGACCATAGTTACAAGTACCAAGGAAATAAAGATGTCTACCTTGTTGTCTTGGTCGTCATACTGTCCTTTTAGTCCCATTTGCCCAACTGCTGCCCAGCGCAGGAAACAAAACAGCATCTGGCCTGGCAGTGTTGTGGGGTCAAAGCCAGAGGCTGAAATGGGAGAACACCGACCTCTCAGATTCACCGAGTGCCAGGAGAGAGCCCAGCAGTTTGTACTTGAGAAAGGTCTCACATGGTTTGTCATTGAGGTTCCAGGCTGCCTGTCTGCACTACCCCTGCTCCCCAGGCTCACTGCCTGCAGACTGGCCATCCCAAGTCCCCAACCAGCCACAGACCTGCTGCTCCCTCCACCTCTCCTTGGTGTTGAGAGCACTGTGTTCAGTTACCTCCTTGACCTTCCCAACAATACAGGAGTGGGATCCTTTCAGAGAGGTCAAGAAATGTAATGGGTCACAGAGCTAGTAACTGGCTCTGAACCTGGATTTCTGCCCTTAAGCTGGCAAACTGACCTGCTTGGAGCAGAAGCAGGGTTCTGGAGACCAGCTAGGTACAGAAGGGTCTACTTGGCTACTCACACAGAATCTTTCAATGGTGAGGCCAGAGCAGATCCACCAGGCCAGTTACAAACTCGGTGTCCAGGACCTCTGCCCCGACCTCACCTAGTCCCCTTAGCCCTTTTTACTATTCTCATGGGCATCCACTGGAAAGTGACTACTAGAACTTGTCTATCCAATTTCCTATGGCACACCCAGAATGATCCCTTGGGATTATCATCACTGGGCCCATGTGATAAAACTGGCCTCTTGTGTCATCCAGATCAAGCCTCCTTCAAGATTGAAAATGACCACAGGACACTGGAGCCCAGGGATAACACAGGACATAGGATTCAACACTCCTTCACCCTACCTTTCACTCCACAGCAATTTCCCGAACACAGCCTTGGGAACCAATACTGGCTTTCTCAAATAAAGAAGCCAGGGTGGGGAGTCTAGCTGGTTTGGCTCAATGGATAGAGCGCCGGCCTATGGCCTGAAGGGTACCAGGTTCAATTCCAGTCAAGGGCACAGGCATAGGTTGCAAGCTCAATCCCAATACAGGGTGTGCAGGAGGTAGCTGATCAATGACTCTCTTTCATCATTGATGTTTCTCTCCCCACTACTGAAATCAATTTTTAAAAAGGAGGAGATTGTCATGTTTGGGAAACAAAGCTAGGTACTACATAACCTCCTGAAGTCTTCAACAAGCTATTCTAAAATGTCAAAAGGATATGGTGTGTTCCAGAAATTCAGCAAACCTCTGGGTGAGTCAACATAGACATTCCTGCTGTAACCATAACCTCTTGGCTACTACCCTCAGTGACCTCCATTCTCTGGCCAAAGCGGGGTTAGGGTGAACTCCGGGGACTGGATTTGGGCAGAGGCGAGCACCTCTCCAGCCCTAGCACTGCCTTGGCAGGTGCCTGAGAAGTCCTGGAATCTGTAGAGGTCTGGTCAGAGGCACAAGCAGGGCCCCACTGGACTTTGCTCTGCCCTCCAGGCAGGTGTCTATCCCACACTCAGAACAGACTGAGCCCAGGGCTGTCCCCCAGCCTTTGTGGCTCTCGGCCCCTGGGAAACAACAGTGTGCAGCTTCAGAAACAATTGATCCAGGGCTGGAGGACCCACTGCAGTTGAAAGTTGTCAAAGATGAAAAGGAAATCAAGTCCTGGTCTTAAGCTCTGAGTCATGGGCCCCTATGAGAATCAGACGTATGTTCTGGTCCTGTAGCCAGAAAAACTCACCTTTGCTCAGAATTATACACAAACTAAAAGTCTCGTTTTATTCTCCAAGTAATGAGAAACTGAGCCCTAGAGAGGGGCAAGGACTTGCCCTAGGTCACATGGCAGAATCAGCTAGAAGACAAGCCCCCAGCTTCCTGCAGCAGCCATAGGGGGCCTGACCCCCAGTAAAGATTACAGCAAGCATGTCAAACTCAAAGGGTAACACAGGCCAAACAAACGAGGCATGTGGTCCCCGGGGCCAAGAGTTTGACATGCTTGGACTAGAGGGAAGAGAGAACACAAGTGGAATTGCGCCAATAGTTTTAATGTGTAACAGTGTGTCATTAGTGAAGACAAGACCTCCAAAGGCCCCAGCTCTTCTCCCGTGGTGCCTTGGGACCTCTGTGCCTGGACCAGTCCCATGCCTGTCCCAGCTCTGAGGACCTCAAGTCTCAGGGAAGGGTGGAAAAAAAGGTTGATGTCTGAAGGCTCAGCTCCAAGAGTTCAGGGAGGCAAACAAGCTAGTTGAATTTGGCCTTAGAAAAATCCATCTCTGGATGCTGATCCATGAACCTGGGAAGGGAAATAGGAAGATAGTGAAAGACTGTCCCTCTTCCCTAAAGTTAGTCCCTTACTCCTAGCCTTCCACTTGAGGTCTAATCTCTTTAGAACCCTGAGCAACCTGGAGTCAGGCCGGGCAGGGACTCTGAGGCTCATCTGAACCAGAGGCTAGAAGCTGAGGTGCCAACATAGTCGCTTTTCACAGGTAAATGGCAATGACCACCTATTACCTTCCTTCTTTCCTATCTGCAGGTGGCCTTGGCCTCAAAATTACCTCAGCAAGTGATTAGGATTGGCAAGCCAAGGCCATAAAGCCATAAACTTGGCAGCTCATTCTGGAGGGGCAGGGCAGCTCCTGTGCCCTCCTCAGTGACCTCACTTGCAGTTGTCACCCAGATCCAAGGCCCCCCACCCAACTCCCATTTTTAAAGAGCTCACTTTTTCAGAATTTCCTGTTTCTTCTGCTCATCTGAGGTGGGCAGCCCCATGGACTTCTGTCTCTGGTCATACATCATCTTCTCCACCATGCTGCGCGTCTCACTGTCCAGGTCTGACAGCTGGGGGCAGGCAGCAGCAGGGTCAGGTGAAGCTCTTGGACCACCTGGGCCTCTCATCTCCCAGTTGAAGCTCCCCCAACCAACCAGGGCTCACCTTGGAGTTCTCAGGGTTGATCTTCTTGGTATTGATCTCAGGATCACTGGACACCAATCTGCTCCACCACTCCATCTTGTTGATCTGTGAGGAGGACCACCAGCCACTCATTCTGAACCACCTAGGAACCACCCATCAACCAACTCTCTCCCACCCACACCCTACACTTAGGACCCAAAGCAGGGCTATGCTGGGACTGAGGTATAGAGGAGCAAGACCTCTCCCGCCCACAGCGGCTGGCGTGGTTGGGAAGACTGACCCGAATACAGTCACAAATCAGAACAAGCAAAATAAAGCACAGAGGAAGATACCATCCAGGGTGAAGGGAGAGAAGCTACAGAGTGACACCTAGCTGGGACAAGCAGTTTGCCAGACTAATTCAGGGAAGGACATTCCAGTTGAGAGGAAAAGCAAGTGCAAGGGCATGGAGGGGTGACTGAGAGGCAGCCATGACCAGTCAGGTAGGCTGGGACAGACCTTGTGTGCCATGGGGAGTTTTCCTCCATGTTTGGCACTTTACAGAGACCATCTTTATTACTGGTGTGTCTGTGTCCCATCTCTCTTTTTGAGGGGAGGGGAGAACATAGGTGTCCTGGGGGCATTTTCTACGTTTTGTTCATTGTTCTCTCTCCAGTATATAGAACAGTGCCTGGCACATAGTAGGTGTTCAAGTGTTTGTTAAATTGAATACATGCAAGAACCTAAGGAAAGGTGAGGATTTGGTTAACAAAGACTATTGTGATCCTGACTCCACCCTTTCCTAGATGTAAGAGCCTGGGCAAATTATCTGAGCTACCCTTTCCTGACTACAACGGGATAGACCTGCCTGCCGGCATGGCTTAGTGGTTGAGTGTCGACCTATGAACCAGGAGGTCGTGGGTTCACTCCCCAGTTTAGAGCATGCAGGAGGCAGCCAAACAATGACTTTCTCTCATCATTCATGTTTCTCTCTCTCCCTCTCCCTTCCTCTCTGAAATCAATTTTTAAAAAAGTATATTTTTTTAAATGGGACAGCCCTAGCTAATTTGGCTCAGTGGATAGAACGTGGGTCTTTGGACCAAAGGGTCCTGGGTTCAATTCTGATCAAGAACAAGTAAGTACCTTGGTTGCAACTCCTCCCTGGCCCAGGCTAGTGCAAGAGGCAACCAATTAATGTTTCTCTCACATCAACGTTTCTCTCTGTTTTTCCCCCTCTCTTCTACTCTCCCTAAAAATTAACAGAAAAATATCCTCAGGTGAGGATTAAGAAAATATCCCCCCCACCCCCTCTAAAAAAGGGACATACATACTGTAAGTATTATGGGATTAAATAAGAAATGTCCAACAGGTCCCTAGCATGGTCCCCGACTGAATGAGCAGAAACCCTCCCTCTTTCTCCATTAAGATGCAGCCAGAAGGCTGGGCCTCTTCGCACCTTCTCCAGATGCACCGTCACCACCTTGCCGTCCTCAATGAGCCAGGAACTCTCCTCCACCTTCACCTCGTTGTAGAGCTCCCCGTCAATGATGGCAGGCTGCCCCTGGAGCCCCACCCGGAGATGCTTCCGCTGGATGTCCACCACCACATCTTTCCCTTTCAGCCGGAAGTTCACACGGAAGGGCACTGCCAGCTGCATGGGACAGAGACAGTCAGGAGGGGCCCCAGGCTGGCTCCCTCACCTCTGCCCTGGCCCTGCCACTCACGTCCAGCTCCGACAGGGTCTGGGTCCAGCGGTAATTGGACAGGTCTGCCCCGTTGCCGAGATTGGGCTTCAGTTTCCCTTTGTCCTTCTCGTCCTCCTCCTCGTCTTCCTCTGCCTCCTGCTCATAGTCAGAGTGCTCAGCTACTTACTTGACAGACACAGACTGAAACTCTCTGGGCCAGGCCCAGGACATACAACCACAAAATGAAATAGATTTGTCCTGCCTACTCCATGGCGCGGTGGCAGCCACAGGTGAAACATAGTTCTGATCACACTGGGGACCGTGACAGTGAGAGATAAACCCATAGGACCCAGCTGGGGGTGTCAAGCCAAAGGACTTAGAAAGCCAAGCACAAAAAAACAAAAGGTCACTAAATAACCATGAGCAGGGTTGTCCTAAAATAAAACCAGACACCCCACCGAAACTGGTTTGGATCAGTGGATAAAGCATCGGTGTGCGGACTGAAGGGTCCCAGGTTCCATTCCGGTCAAGGGCGTGTACATTGGTTGCAGGCACATCCCTGGTGGGGGCGGTGTGCAGGAGACAGCTGGGCGATGTTTCTCTTTCATCAATGTTTCTAGCTTTCTATCCCTCTCCCTTCCTCTATGTAAAAAAATCAATAAAACAAAATAAAACCAGACACCCCCAGCTGGTGTGGCTCGGTACAGTGTACAACGCTGTAGTTGTACACTGACCTATGAGCCAGGAGGTCCCAGTTCTATGCCTGGTGAAGGCACCTGCCTGGGTTGCAGGCTCCATCCCAGTGGGAGCATGGCATGCAAGAGGCAGCCAATCAATGATTCTTATCATTAAGGTTTGTATCTCTCTCCCTTCCTCTACGAAATCAATAAAAACATCTTTAAAACAAATTTAAAAAATAAAATAAAACCAGGATGCCTAATGATCAACATCCTTTTTCTGTGTCTATAGGGTTAAGACCACTAGTCTCACATCAGAACCTCTGAAAAGCCAAATGAATGCCCTCAAAATCGTTTGTGAATCTGGACCTGAGTAAGTGGGAGAAGCTCTGAGGGGCTTGTTCGCAGATGTGTCAGAGTGACCCCCCACCAAGGCCCAGGCTGGACCCCCAGACCCAGGCCACCTGAACGGTACCTGCACAGGCACTGACTGCCCTCTCTTGCATTGGGGCTTTCTTGCTAAAGCTTAAGGCCAACGGGTTTCGGGTGTTTTTAATACAAACCCTTTGGTCCAATATCTCTGAGTGAGATCTTGAAGTATGGGGAGGATCACAAAGCTGAGGGAAGGAGGGCAGGGGAGGGCATCCTGGAGACAGGGTAAGGCTGTAAAGTCCCTGGAAGTTCCCAACCCCTGGCTAGTCCCAAGCACCCCCAGCCCATCTCACCTGCTTCTCTGGTGAGCCAAGGCTGCCATTCTTGAGCTGGGCCTCATGATCCTCTGCATCCTTTTTCTATGGCAAAGGGCAAAGCAGTTGGCAAGAGGGTCCCCTCTTCTAGTGCCAATACTTGCGGGGACAGGGGAGGGAAGCCCACTCTTACCTGGTCAATCTCCAGCTGCAGCCTCTCTGCCTCCTCATCAGTCAGCTCCTTGATCTGAGGCCCAGAGCTCTCTGACTTGGCCTCCTTGGCCAGCCTAGCTGCCCGCTCCGCCTTCTCCCGCCGCTCCGTCTCCTGCCGAGCTCTCTTTTCCCGCCGGGCCTTCTGTGCCAGCTGGTTGTGGTGGTTGAAGGTCTGTGTGATGAGCTGGGGACGAAAGTGAAAGCAACGAGCATCAAGATAGGGGTAGTATCCCAAAAGCACAGTCCCGTCTCTATCTGCCGGGTGCCTAAGGAAAGCACTGCGCTTAGAACCCCAGTTTCCTCATCCAGAAAATGGGAAAATACATATCTGATCGAGTTATAACAACAATATCTGCAAATACCTGACTCAATAGACAGTGGCTACTCTAAAAAACCAAAACAGTTTTGGCCTGGCTGGTGTGGCTCAACTGGCTGGGCATTGCCCTGTGTACCAAAAGATCACAGGTTCGATTCTTGATCAGGGCACATACCCAGGTTGTGGGTTCAATCACTGGTAGGGGTGCATATGGAAGGCAACCAATTGATGTTTCTCTCTCTCTCCCTCTCTCCCCCCAAAGTCAATAAAAAATGCATTTTTTAAAAACAACATTCTAGGAAACCGGTTTGGCTCGGTGGATAGAGCGTCGGCCTGCGGACTGAAAGGTCCCAGGTTCGATTCCGGTCAAGGCCATGTACCTTGGTTGCGGGCACATCCCCAGTGGGGGGTGTGCGGGAGGCAGCTGATAGATGATTCTCTCTCATGGATGTTTCTAGCTCTCTATCCCTCTCTCTTCCTCTCTGTGAAAAATCAATAAAATATATTTTAAAAAAATAAAATAAAAATAAAAACAATATTCTAACAACTAAGAGTATGGACATTGAAGTTGAACAATCTTGGGTTCTAATCCTGGCTTTGTCACTCACTAGCTATTGTATTTTTAGCAAACTACTTAACCTCTAAGAGCTTCAAAACCTTCATCGGTAAGGATGAATCCCATCTCACAGGGTTGTTGTGCTCTGAAAGTTCTTCAATAGACAGTGAAGCTATAAGAACTCCAGACTCAACCCCTCTAAGGAGTCTTTCCTGAGCTCAGGCCTACTGGCCCACTTGCTCTGACTGATCCCTCTTCCTCCTGCGTATCTGTCTCCAGGGCTGCAGCCCCAGCAGTGCAGCACTCAGCACCACACCCAAGACTGCCACATTAGCAGAAGGCAGAGAGAGCTTTCTTTCTCTTCCTTTCTTTCATTTATATTTTTATTGACTTCAGAGAGAAAGAGAGAGGGAGAAACATCAGTGATGAGAATCATTGAATGGCTGCCTCTTGCATGACCCCTACTGGGCATCAAGCCGCAACGGGGCATGTGTCCCTAACGGGAATTGAACGTGTGACCCAAACCAGCTAAAGCGAGAGAGCTTTCTTGAGGGAAAAGGAGCCTCTTCCTCTCCTCAGCCTGCAAGCTATCCATTTCAAATCCTTTCTCTCCCACTATTCCTTCCCAGGATGCTTCCAACCCATAGCCTGCTAACTGGCCTCCCTGCTGCCCAAGAGCTACCCCAATACTACAGCCACCTATCACTGCTTGTCAGTGTGGCCTGGGGCAAGCCGACAACTTTGACATTTTCTAAGCCTGTTTCCTCACCTATCAAGAGGATCAAATATGACCAACACTCATCTAGAGCCTGGCACAGTCCTTGGCACATCACACAACTTGCCTGGAGGCTAACCAATGTCAGCTTTGGGGGCCTGGGAGAAGCACTTTCTCTACAATAAAAATGCAATGGGAACGACGGCTCCCCCTCACTGCTACACTAGTAGCCCTCAAAGTATGGTTTCCTCAACTGCAACATCAGTACCATCCAGAATTTGTTAGAAAAGCTAAATCTTAGCTCCCCTCCCCAAATAAATAAAATCTTAGGCCCCACTCCAGACTTACTGAATAGGAAATTTTGGAGGTTGCCCAGCAGCCTATATTTTTAATCAGCCTTCCTGGCTAATTCTCATAAACACTGGAGAGCCACATCTAGATTTGAGTTCCTGGTCTACTTCTTTTGCCTGTGTGGACCCTGTGGAGCAGCTTTCTCTGTGCTTCTATTTTAGTCTAAAATTGTTTTTTTTTAAGCTCTGGCCAGGTAGCTCAGCTGGTTACAGCATCGTTCTGATATGCCAAGGTTGTGGGTGATATCTCTGGTCAGTACATATATAGGAATCAACCAACAAATACATAAATAAGTGGAACAACACACACTCCCTCTCTCACTTCCATCCTCTCTAAAAAATCAATAAATAAGCCAAAACCGGTTTGGCTCAGTGGTAGAGCATCGGTCTGCAGACTGAAAGGTCCCGGGTTCGATTCCGGTCAAAGGCATGTACCTTGGTTGCGGGCACATCCCCGGTGGGGGGTGTGCAAGAGGCAGCTGGTCGATGTTACTCTCTCATCGACGTTTCTAGCTCTCTATCTCTCTCCCTTCCTCTGCGTAAAAAATCAATAAAATATATTTTAAAAAATAAAAATAAATAAAAAATCAATAAATAAAAATAAAAGTCATCTTGCACAGCTGTTCTTTGCCTAGAATGTCCTTGTTCCTACTCCCAGGTTATCTGGCAAACTCCTACTCATCCTCCAGGACCAGGTCAAGTGTCTCCTGAGTTTCACCTCTTCATCCTCGCAGGCCCAGAAAGAGCGTGGCAGTTCCTCAAAAAATAAGAATAGAACTACTATATGATCCAGCAGTCTCACGCCTGGGAATATACCCAGAACTCTACGTTGACCAACACACCTGGAGGCCTCACAGGCCACCCACTACGTGATCAGTGGTCAATAAACCATCTTTCAAGAATTTCTGGGCCCGAGACGGAAGGATGAAGGAAGCTGAAAGGGCCTTGAAGAACTCCAGGTCACCAAAGTTACCCATAGGCTCCTGACCGAAGGCTCTGCCAAAAGTGACTTCTCATTCATTTGATGGCAATTCCTCCGGCCACCCCCAAATTCCCAACCCTATGCCATACTATAGCATGGCATAGTACAGAGCTACTATGCCGTGCTATAGTAGCTCTATACTCTACAAAGTTAAAAGGGCACTGGACCCCCCAAACCAACTGGGTTAATAAAATGGAATGTGAGCCGAAACCGGTTTGGCTCAGCGGTAGAGCGTCGGTCTGCGGACTGAAGGGTCCCAGGTTCGATTCCGGTCAAGGGCATGTACGTTGGTTGTGGGCGATCCCTGGTAGGGGGTGTGCAAGAGGCAGCTGGTCGATGTTTCTCTCTCATCGACGTTTCTAACTCTCTATCGCTCTCCCTTCCTCTCTGTAAAAAATCAATTAAAAAAAAAAAAACATATTTAAAAAAATAAAATAAAGCCAAGACCGGTTTGGCTCAATGGATAGAGCGTCGGCTTGGGGACTGAAGGGTCCCGGGTTCGATTCGGTCAAGGGCATATACCTTGGTTGCGGGCATATCCCCAGTAGGGGGTGTGCAAGCGGCAGCTGATCGATGACTCTCTCTCATCGATATTTCTAACTCTCTATCTCTCTCCCTTCCTCTCTGTACAAAATCAATAAAATATATTTAAAAAAAAATAAAATAAAATAAAAAAATAAAATAAAATAAAATGGAATGTGAGAGAGAGAAATGAGCTACCTGAAGGCCACTTAATGTAATTAGTCATGAGACAATTACACCAGCAGAGGCTGTTTCACCACAGGGCCTTGGTCCCAAGTCCCTAATCAGGGAGACCTTGAACTCAAGCCATTTGCCAACCAGTAGCCAAGGGTAGGCGGGAACAGGGTCCTCCCCTCTCCCAGTCCCAGTGAATCAGGTTACATCCCATCCATCCTATTTCTTCCCAGCTGTGAGGTTAGGTGAGGGCAGAGCTGAACCACAGGGCAGAGTAAAGACCAATCACAGCAGCCTCTGAAGTTGCCACCCGGTCTCCTCCCACCATCTTTACCCAGCCCCAGCCTCAAGCAGAGACCCTAGGGGTATGTAGCCTACAGAGGTGCCAACTGACAGGCTGCCACAGTCAAGCTCTTTCACTGGAGCATCCTTGGGAATCACAGTCCAGGAAAGTGGAGAAGGGGTGAGAAAAGCTGAGCTGGCTCTAGAAGACAGGCCCTAGTCTGCTCAGTGGACACATCGAACACAGGTTTTTCCTGGCCCAGGCTGGTAAAGAGTGGTTCCCACCAGTCTAACCAGAGAAGACACAGAATCCAACGGCTGAGATTCTAAACCTGTGTGTGGGAGGGGAGAGGAGTGGGGGACGTGTCTGAAGATGACACACTTCTATTCTAGAACTTCATATAAATGGAATCTTACAATATGTGTTTCTTTTGTATGCTCATCTTCCTTTAAAAGGCTGAATAATATCCCATTATACATATATATGATGTTTTGTTTATCCATTCATCTATCAATGGACAGTTGGGTTGCTTCCACCTGGTGGCTATTAGGAATAGTTCTGCTATAAACAAAACTCTCTCCAAAACCTTGCTTTCAATTCTTCTGGGTATATTCCCAGAAGTGAGACTGTGGATAGTTAGTGCTATTCTGTTTTCCACAGCCACACCATTTTATACTCCCACCTATAGTGCACAGGCTGCACTACATTTCTCCACATCCTCACCAACACTTGTTAGTTTGTGGGGTTTTTTGACAGAAGACATCGGAATGGGTATGAGGTGGTATCTTTTGGTTTGATTTGCAATTCTCTGATATAAGGAAAGTTGAGCATCTTTTATAAAAGTTTTTATAAAGAGCTACAACAATTCACTTTTACCAGCAATGTCCAAAGAGCAGCCTTTCCCCACACCCTTACAAGCAATTATTTAGATAGGAATAAAGAGCATGTGTTTCTTTAACTTACATTTCCTTGACTACTTGTGAATTTGAGCATCTGTTCAAATGCTCTTTAGATTTGCTCTCCTTGTAATTGCCCATTTTTTGTTTATTCTTTTCTTGGCAATTTACAAGAGTTCCTGCACATTAAATCAGTTATTAAATGTTACCTACCCTCTGCATTGCATTTTCCCAAATCTATTGTTTTTCAGTTGACTTTATATGTCAACATCTCTTTTGCCATACAAAAGTTTTCAATCTTTGAAGAGACAGATACCTCTTTCTTTCTTTTTTAAAATATATTTTATTGATTTTTTTACAGAGGAAGAGAGAGGGATAGAGAGTTAGGAACATCAATGAGAGAGAAACATTGATCAGCTGCCTCTAGCACATCCCCTACAGGGGATGTGCCCGCAACCAAGGTACATGCTCTTGACCGGAATCGAACCTGGGACCCTTCAGTCCGCAGGCCGACGCTCTATCCATTGAGCCAAACCGGTTTCGGCCAGATACCTTTTTCTTTCATAGCGTCAAGGTTTCTATTTGTAAAGCTTCCCCCCATAAGATTATACAGTTTCCCAGATTTCCTTACAAGGCTCTACTTGATCTGCACTTTATTATATAGGAGTAAACAGATGGAAAATTTTGGTTTTTTACAAATAGCCACTTGTAGCAGCATGACTCATTAAATCATCCTTTGCCTACAGAAATGAATTGCCATATTAGATACATATTAAACCCTTATATATGCTAGACTTTTTCTAGGTTCTCTTTTTTGCTTCACTGGTGTAGTTCTCTTTCTGTGCCCATACCATAATGACTTGATCATTACGGCTTTACTCAAATCTACAATCTCTCCTCCATAATTCCTGGCCCCCAAAGCCACAAAAACTAAAGTGTTTCTGTACTTTTTGTAAGTTTGTGGCACGAAAGTATTTATAGTCTCTTATCTTCCACTTGGTATGAATATTAATAGACATTTCTCTGCAGAAATGTAAATGTGCCTTGGCTGGTGTGGCTCAGTTGGTTGAGTGTCATCCCATGCACCAAGAGGTCACAGGTTCAATTCCTGGTCAGGGCACATGCCCTGGTTTCAGGTTCAATTCCCAGAAGGGGGCATGCAGGAGGCAGCTAACTGACGTTACTCCCTCCCTCTCCCTTCCTCTCTCTCTAAAATCAATAAGAACTTAAAATATATATATATATATTTTTAATGTGCTTGGTTATAGGATGCTGCTCCTGACCTCTGGGTTGGGGTATTGTATGAAATATAGAGTCTATACTATTGCCTCATAAAGTCCAAAGAATTCTAAATCCCCAAAGCATATGGCCCAGGAGGTTCAAAAAAGAGGCTCTGAACTGATATTTCCATATGCCAGGCACTTCATCAACATTACCTTCTTTTAAAAAACGAAACCAACCATGATTTTATTAATTTTTTAGAGAGAGAGAGGGAGAAGCAGCATAGATGAGAGATAAACATCGATTGGTTGCTTCCTGCACAATCCCCCTAGGGATCAAGCCAGCACCCGAGCATGTGCCCTGACCAGGTACCGCACCTTTGCCTCTCAGTGAATGGGACAACACCATATGGCCAGGGCTTCCTTTTTACCTCATGACAGCCCCATAAGATTATCATCCCTGCTTGTAAGAAACTGAGGCTCAGAGAGATAGTAATTCAGATGCCACACAGTTGTCAAGTGGGAAGTGAAAAGACCAGGATTCAAACTCACGTCTGCTTGATTCCAGAGCCTTTGCTCTTTCCCCACTCACTATACCTGGAGATGTACCTGGCAGAGCTACACCCAGTGTGGTCAGCACAAAGGAGTTACTGTGTGCAACTGGAGACCAGTGGAAAAGGCTGGACAGGTTTATGCCTGCCTAAGAGTCGGACCAACCTCCTGGGAAAGAGCTGAACCTACAGTAACAAAGAGCCAAGGAGCATAACAAGATGTAAGAAGTGACCTGCAGACAGCCAGTAGCTATCATCACCACAATACTTCTGAGGCTTCTCAATATGAATCTCCTTCCCTTCTACCAGCTCCATCTTACTCATCCTTCATGCCTCGCACATTACGTCCTCATTAAGTCTTCCTAAATTAGTCAACAGAGCCAAATATCAACAGTACAATGACTGAAATTTCTTTTGAGAGCCAAATTTTTTAAACTTAAACTATATAGGCAGGTACCTTGCTATTAACTTAATTAGGGTACTCCTAAGCTGGCCTTTGCTAAAAACTCAAGGGGCCGAAGAGCCACATGTGGCTCGTGAGCTGCAGTTTGCCGACAATTGTCCGAAGCCCACAGCCTAGGTTAATACTCATTTTAAGCTCCCAGGGCTTCTGCCCTAACACCTATTTCTTCATTTTCCTTTCCTATTTTTTTTTTTTTTTTGTGTGTGTGTGTGTGGGGTGCTATACTGTGAGATCCATGAAAACAAAGGCCATGTCTGTATTTGCCTCTGTAATCCTGAAGGATTTGGCAGAGTATCTAACACAGGCAAAGTATTAAATGTTCAATAAATATTCATTCAAAAAAATGTTAATAAATGTTTATTGAACAAATGAATGGCTGCTGATATTATAAGGTAGTTTGGCCCACAGAAAAAGTGGGAGGTTCTAGTGCTAATACACAAGAATATTTGAGATAGAATAGGTCCTATAGATCAGAGTCTACCTTTTCCCATTTTACAGATATGAAAAATTAACAAGACCAGAAAAATGGTGAGATGTCAACCAAGCCACACAAGTAGGCCAAGAACCTGGGACTCCTAGCCCAGGTCTGCAAGATGCATTATAGTGCATTCTAGAGCCTGAGGGGCCTGAAGCTACAGAAAAGGGCTTGCAAAATGTCTCCTTCTTGTTACTATGTCTCCAAAGTTTAAGTGAAAACAAGTATTATGGTTATAAAAATCATAGTTCAGTGAGGTGGCACCATGATTTACCAATCTTATTATGCTGAAGAAAGCTTTTCTTCTGAAAAAAACAGAACTACCAAAAGAACAGCAGCTCTCTTGCCGGGACCGGTTTGGCTCAATGGATAGAGCGTCGGCTTGGGGACTGAAGGGCCCCGGGTTCGATTCCGGTCAAGGGCATGTACCTTGGTTGTGGGCATATCCCCAGTAGGGGGTGTGCAAGAGGTAGCTGATCGATGACTCTCTCTCATTGATGTTTCTAACTCTCTATTTCTCTCCCTTCCTCTCTGTACAAAAATCAATAAAATATATTAAAAAAAAAAAGAACAGTAGCTCTCAATACTCACCTTCTCTGCCATCCCCTCTTCTCCTCCAACGAAAAAGTCTGTTTTGCGTCGAAGAAAGCTGAAGAAAGTGTTCACAAGCTGAAAAGACAAAAGAAGACTGTAACTATGGAGATGTCCTTCTGGGAGCCCAGCAACTGCACAGAAGTCAACTTCCTTAGTCTACGAGGGAACTGAGAGCGTGACTATTTCATCCCTGAGCCTCTCAACTGAGAAATCCTCTCACACAGGCTAACCTTAGTCACTTCTGCCAGAAAGCCTAACTTAACCTTACCCACATCGCCTGAAAGGCAGGTTTCTCGTTTGTGCGCACGTTTCACATTCCTTGTGGCCCTAGAGGCAGCCTAAGGGTAGGGAGGACTCCTCCTGCAGACAGGGCTTAAAAAGCTTGGAGACTTGACTATGGGTGATGAACACACAGTACAACATACAGATGAGGTATGATAGAACTGTACACTTGAAACCTATATAATTTTATTAACCGGTCACCTTGATAATTTCAATAAGATTTAAAAATAAAAGATATAATTTTTTAAAAAAGAAAGAAGATCAAGCAGACAGACAATAAACAGGAATCAGACAAGGAAGCAAGATAATTTCAGATGGATATATGTTTTAAGCAAGAAATAAAGTGGTCTTGCCTGCCAGTTTGGCATAGTGAATAGTGTCAACCTGTGGACTGAAAGGTCTGAGGTTTGATTCTGGTCAAGGGCATTTGCCCACGTTGCAGGCTTGATCCCTAGTTTGGAGCATGCAGAAGGCAGCCAACCAATGATTCTCTCTCATCATTGATTTCCCTCTCTCTCTCTTCCTCTCTGATATCAATTTAAAAAAATTTTTTTTTTTTTAAAAGAAAGATACTGGTCTTGTTATAGAGCAATAATACTCAAGATGTGGTCCAGAGACATTAATTTGTCTTTTTCATCTCATTTCCTCACAAGTGTATATACAATGGCGTTTTCCAGAGGCTACATGACATGGGATACTGCAAGACTGAATGAAGAAGCAGACATGAGTATCCAGCAAAATCTGTTTTCGATTAAATCAAACATTAAAGAGATTTAGCCCCCAAAAAGTAAAAATAATGCTTTGCCCTAAATTTGTTTTAGAAACAGTTCTTTTTCATAAAGAATGTTGTTAATATTATGCCCTAACTGGTTTGACTCAGTGGATAGAACGTCGGCCTGCGGACTGAAGGGTCCCAGGTTCAATTCCAGTCAGGGGCATGTGCCTTGGTTGTGGGCACGTCCCCTTAGGGGTGGGGGGTGCAAAAGGCAGCTGATCGATGTTTCTCTCACATTGGTGTTCCTCTCCCTTCTTCTCTGTAAAAAATCAACAAAATATATTTTTTAAAAAGAATGTTATAATATTAGCATGCAATGAGTTTATTGATGGTGTTTTTTTTCCCAATGAATTCATAAGTTAAAAAAACAAATTAAAAAAAGCCTGGGGCTAGCCTTCCTCTCCCAAGAGTAAAAAGCCCAAGTGCAGAAGCAACAGTTGAGTTACTAAGGCAGCAACAGCAGGAGGGGAGCAAATGAAGCCACTTCAAAGAAGGTTAAGACCAACTAACTCTGGCTGGGACACCAGTGTAGCAAATAAGAGCATGGGTTTGAGTAGCAGATTGGCACATATTAGGTCTGTGACCTTGGGGAAGTTTCTTAACTCTGTGAAATAGCAGCAGGACCTATTTCTAGGTACCTTGTAAGGATCAAATGAGATGTTGGAGGTGAGGGCCTTACCAGTGCGTGGCCTGGAGCAAGAGGCCTGTTGCTTCAGTAACACCAACAGGCACCACAAACCATGGTACACTCTGTCTACACCCCCAATGCCTGGCACCAAATCTGGCTAAGAATATATGCTTAGTAACACTTTTGCTGAGTGAAAAATCTAGTGGTGACCTAGGATAAACCCATATAAGCTCTTTTATTTGCCCAAATGAATGATCCCAAATCTGATGCTACAATTTATTTTAATGGTTTCAACTCCTGCTTCTAGACACTTGAAATTCATTCAAAAATGAATTCATATCCAAATTCAGTTTTGTGTCAACAACTTGGGGGGGGGGGGGGAAGAACCTTTTCATATTTGCAAATTGGAACTCTCTTCCCACCTCAGAGGGCTTAGGAATCTTTGGCCACCATAGGCACCTGGGTAAAGATGGGAATGGAAAGCTCAGTGAAAACTCCTCCCAGTGAGATAGAGAATCAGCAAAGAACTGCAGAAAGCACACAGGCCTAAGGAGTCTGGTCCCGTTAGGTCAGGAACCTGATGGATAATCTCTTTGTCTCTTTACAGAACTAGAGTTTTGGACTGATTTTAATGGGCTTTTCTATCGAGAACTTTCCATGTTTCTGGTCCAAAATATATTGGTCCATGTTGTTCATTCTCTAAACAAAATAACTATGTGTTATTTCGTGTGGTCACTAGGTATGAATTATGGTTTTGAAAAGCTCTTGTAAGCTCCATCAGGCCAAGGAGAGGTTTTGGCTCGGATCTGAATCCCCAGGTCCCACTCCAATGAGTGTCTGACCCACATCAATCATTCAACACATTTCACTTCCAGACACTACGCTCCTACAAAGATTAAGAAAACAGGGATTCACAACTCTCTTGCGAACACAAAGAAACTACCGTATTTTCCGGCGTATAAGACGACTTTTGAAACGAAAAAAAGTCAACCGAAAATCGGGGGCAAAAGACCAAAATTGCACAAAAATTACCTGCAGATCTTGAAGGCAAAGTAAGTCTTTTCTTTGAAGTGGGGGGTAGTCTTATTCAGCGAATATAGGCCTAAACCTATGCTTTAAATGTAAAATTAGGGGGTCGTCTTATACGCCGGAAAATACTTGAGGAGACATGTAAGGGTCCTAAGCGGGAGTGGTGGAAATCAATTGTGAATCCAGGCCTTTCATTCCCCATTCAAGGCCTAAAAAAAAAAAAATACGTGTAAACATCACCCCGCCCCCCCTAAACCCTACCCCACACCCACTCCTCGGCTCGCTCCAAGCCGGTAGCTGCAAATCTCAATGTCTGGGATGGCTCCTGGGATGTTCTTTGCAGGCAGCCATCAGAGAGGAAACGTGGCCCTAAGAATGTGTGCGGCTTAGGGGAGGGGAATCTCACGGCTCTGGGGGTTTCCCAGGGATGCCAGAATTGCTAAGATAGAAACTCCTGAGCAGTGCCCGGGCCCGGGGCTGATACGAAGGGGACACACCACCTTAGGCGGGGAGACCAGACCGGAAGCTGGGACACGGGGAAGCTGTGGAGAGGGGGGAGCCCGGAAGGCCCAAGCGTGGATCTCGGCCCCTGAAGGAGAAGGGCTGAGGGAGCCTGACTAGGGCCGCCGGGGTGGGCGAGCTCCGGTAAAGCGGGCCCGGCCGCTGCCGCGCGGGCCGTTACCTCCTGCACGCCGCCCTCATGTTGCTGCGCCATGGCCAGCAACATGCCGTCGAACCGCTCTTCCTCCTGCTCTCCGCCCATCGTGTCGGCCGCTAGCCACGCTCCGCGATACGAGCTCCGCACTGGCGTCCCGCGTTCGCCCAGCTCCTACGCTTCGCGTCCGGCCCAACGACTCTGACCCTCCGCCTTCCGCAGCGGAGCCGGAAACACGCACACGTTCCGCCCGCTCCGGCCCGCCGGCCCGCCCTCTCTTCCCGCCTTCCTCTCGGCAAGCGACCAATGAGCGCGCGGCCAACAGCCCGCGTCTTCGGCCATTGGCCAACGTGCTGAGCCAATAAGCGAGAGCGTCCAGGAAACGGAGGGCGGGACCGAGGGCCCGAGAGTTTGGAGTGAGTTGCTATGGTCACCAGACGCTTTGGAGCCTTCCAGAAATCGACGCGCTAAAAGGGGGTGAGGTGAGTGTTGGAAGTTACAAAGGGACAGACTTGACTCGCCCGTCTTGAGAGGGGCCTCCCAAATTGTGGAATGGTTGAGCTGGAAGTATCAGGCATCTCTTCCTGTCCTCTCAGAAAGGAGAAAGGAGAAAAAACCATCCATCACAAGACCACCGGAAGTATGGGCCCAGTGAGAAAAAACCATGTCAGCCTGTCTACAGATAAAAATTTGAAAAACAAACAAACAAACAAAAAAATCTATCCCTGCCTGGGTAGTTGTTGATTGAAGCATCATCACACACACCAAAAGGTCAAGGGTTGGATCCCCAGTCAGAGCACATATTTCCCCGAAAATAAGACATTCTCAGAAAATAAGACCTATTTACAGGTTTCCTTCTGAGTGAAATATAAGGCATCCCCTCGAAAATAAGGCCCCCCTAGGCTCTATCTCAGAATGCTATTGCTAAACATGAGAGATTTGGTCCAAGGATTCTGAAAGAAATGGAGTCACAAGAAATTCACCAAGAAATTCAGGAATTGGATTGTTATGATGATGTTCCAGAAGGTGATGACATGATTGTCATTGAATAAATAAGTAAATTCTTGATACTGTAAAAAAAAAAAAAAAAGAAAGAAAGAAAGAAAGAAAGAAAGAAAGAAAGAAAGAAAGAAAGAAAAGAAAAGAGCCGATACCGGTTTTGCTCGATGGAGAGAGCGTCGGCTTGGGGACTGAAGGGACCCGGGTTCGATTCCGGTCAAGGACATGTACCTTAGTTGCGGGCATATCCCCAGTAGGGGGTGTGCAAGAGGCAGCTGATGGATGACTCTCTCTCATCGATGTTTCTAACCCTCTATCTCTCTCACTTCCTCTCTGTACAAAAGTCAATAAAATATATTTTAAAAAAAAGAAAGAAAGAAAGAAAGAAAGAAAAGAAAAAAAAGAAGGGACCTGCCCGAAGAGCCTACCTACCTCATTGCAAACACCATGGGCATACACCAGGTTCAGAAGCACTGGCCCCGAGTTTAAAAGGACTCTGTGCTTGGTTGAATGCTCTTCTGTCGCAGTCCTGAAATTCTTAATACTTTTTAACAAGAAACCTCACATTTTCATTGAGCACTAGGCCTTGCAAATTGTGTAATGTTTTGTATTCAACCTTCACTCCTGTTGATGTGAGGAACAGGTCCCAAACATCTAAGCCCAACTTTTCCACTTTGTGGTGAATTTCATCATCCTAGTCTTTCAGGGACTCTACCCTTATTATTATCCTTTAACTTCTGTCTCACAAATTCCTTTCTTCTGGATCATTCCCTTCAACTTTCAAACATGCTTAATGTTACTTACCTTTGTACTATTATATGACCCACTTTATCTTTCTACCACCCCAATTCACAGAAAAACTTGGGGGGAAATGCTATATTTGTTTCTCTACTTCCTTACTTTCCATCTCACCTTAGTTTAATCAGTCTTTTCTTAAAAGCCACTGGCCAATGTGTAACGATCTCCATCCATGCCAAATCAATGGACCACTATTATCTTTCTCAGCTTCTCTGCTGCATTTGACACAGTTGACCCCTTCCTTTTTGCTTAAGAAAACACCCAAGGATATTTTTCCATTGATTTCTAGGGAGAGTGGAAGAGAAAGGGAAAGACAGAGAGAAACATTGAAGTGAGAGAGAAACACATCAATAGGTTGCCTCTTGCACATGAAGAGGAGACTGCAACCAAGGTATGTGCCCTTGACCAGAATTGAACCCTGAACCCTTTTGTCTGCAGGCCCACCTCTATCCACTAAACCAACCTGACTAGGGCTCATGTTTTTTATTATATATATATATAGGTATAGAACTAAATAGAAATGTGTGTGCATGCACATTCACCTATGTTCCTTAGCCCTGGGAGGGCCTGGGAGCAGTGACACCATAATAGCAATGAGCAGATCTTGGTCTCTAAATGTGATTTAGTGCCTAGATCATCCTTTCTTAAATCCTATTCTCCACTAAGAGATTAAACTAGAGCTTCTTGGCATAGTGGTTGACTTCAGGGGGCTGGAAAAATAACATCTTGTTATACCAGAAAATAAAGGATGTTCAGAGAATGATGAGGAACGTCAAAGGATATAGACTCCAGCTTGAATGAGACTCCCATTGGCCAAAGCTATCAAAATAAATAAGGGTTATAACAGTTTACAAGCCACTGAATAAAATAGGAGACCATGAGTTCATACTTAAATACATACATACATACATATATGCATTCAAAGTATGAGGAGGAATAGCTATATCATTTCAAAATGCCTCCTCAAAAAAACACTGATTCATTAAAAAAAAAAAAAAAAAAAAAAAAAAAAAGGAAAAAAGGAAAGAGAAACTATAGTGAAGTTTGGCAGACATCCTTTAATCAGTGACCAAAGTGGGACAAGTGGAAATGTGTGCTTCCTGATAGGATGAATCAAGAACACAGGCCCGAGCTGGTTTGGCTCAGTGGATAGAGCATTGGCCCTCAAACTGAGGGTCCAGGGTTATTTTCCAGTCAAGGGGGTGTACCTGGGTTTCAAACTTGATTCCCAGCCTGGTCAGGGTGTGTGTGGGAGGCAACTAATCTTTGTGTCTCTCTCACATCAATGTTTCTCTCTGTGTGTCTCTCCCACTCCCTTCCACTCTCTGTAAAAACCAATGGAAAAATATATTTGGGTGAGAATTAGCAACAACAACAAAAAGAACACAACATTGCTTCTGTGATATTCCTACTAAATAACTTGAATCTAATCATAAGGAAGCCTTGAACAAACCCAAATTGAGAGCTTTGCTACCAAATAACTACAACTCTTTCAAAGCATCAAGATCTGAAAGGCAAGGAAAGACTGAGGGAAAGTTTCCTGACTGACAGACTAAAGAAATGATTTTTAAAAAATGCATTGTGAGCCCTAGCCGGTGTGGCACAGTGGATATAGCGTCAGCCTGTGGACTGAAGAGTCTCAGGTTCAATTCAGGTCAAGGATACATGCCCCCGTTGTGGGCATAATGGCCAGTAGGGGGTGTGCAAGAGGCAGCCAATTAATGATTCTTATCATTGATATTTCTACCTCTCTCTCCCTCTCCCTTCCTCTCTGAAATCAATAAACATATTTTTTTTTAAAAAGAAAGAAAGTAAAGAAGGAAGAAAGGAAAGGAGGGAGGGAGGGAGGGAGGAAAGAAAGACGAACGGTAGGAAAGAAGAAAGACACTGTGAAATTCTGGACTGAGCCCTCTCACTGTAACTTATTTCGTTTTTTTGGTTTTTTGTTTTTTTAATATATTTTATTGTTTTTGTACAGAGAGGAAGGGAGAGAGATAGAGAGCTAGAAACATCGATGAGAGAGAGTCATAGATCAGCTGCCTCCTGCACACCCCCCACTGGGGATATGCCGGCAACCAAGGTACATGCCCTTAACCGGAATTGAACCTGGGTCCCTTCAGTCCCCAAGCCGACGCTCTATCCATTGAGCCAAACCGGTTTCGGCTCACTGTAACTTATTTCATGAAAGCATGTGGTGAAACTGAACTAGGGTCTGATATTAGAGGTTCAATTACACACTCAAGTATTTGAAAGTTCGAAGGTATCAGGTTTAGCAATTTACTCTCAAATGGTTCAAGGTTTTTAAAAAATTCCCTGTACTGTACTTGCAACCTTTCTGTGTTTGTATAGTCTCAAAATAAATAGCATTGACATGGGAAGAGGTTAGCAAAAAGCATACAGCTAAAACACATCGGCAAATATTGTCAGGAAACTGATCAGTAAAAGTATTTTGTTATTCTCCTAGGTTTGAGATGTTTCTGTTTTCAGTCAGTTTATTTTACTTTGTAATTGGTAGTAACTTATTTTCTCATTTTAAATATCCACTTTTATACCTGCTTTTCTATTATTGAAGAGGGTGCTCCAAATTGCATAGGCTTCAGGTATTGCCTTTATATACTATCGGGGTATTGCCTTTCTTGCCACCCTTTTAAGGATGAGCAAACTGAAGCACAGAAATCTCAAATGACTTGCCCAAGGCCACTTAGCTAAGTGATGAAACAGGATTTAGACCCAGCCTGTCTGACTCCAGAGTCTCCTTTGAGAAGTGTATGAGGATTCAGCGAGAAAAAAAGAAAAGAAAAAAAAAAAAGACATGACAGGAACTTTATAAATGTAAGGATTAAGATTACTAACAATCAGCCGAAACCGGTTTGGCTCAGTGGTAGAGCGTCGGTCTGCGCTCTCTATCCCTCTCCCTCTCTGTAAAAAGATCAATAAAATATGCCGGGACCGGTTTGGCTCAATGGATAGAGCGTCGGCTTGGGGACTGAAGGGACCCGGGTTCGATTCCGGTCAAGGGCATGTACCTTTGTTGCGGGCATATCCCCAGTAGGGGGTGTGCAAGAGGCAGCTGATCGATGACTCTCTCTCATCGATGTTTCTAACTCTGTATCTCTCTCCCTTCCTCTCTGTACAAAATCAATAAAATATATTTAAAAAAAAAAAAAAAGATCAATAAAATATATTTTAAAAAAGAAAAAAGTCTTAATCATAGGGAAGACCAGAATATTTAAGTAGAAATACATAGTAGGTATTCAGTAAACAGCAGCCATATTTTATTATTCTTCTGCAAGGGCTTCTCAGCAAACACA